AGTTCCCAAGTATCATTCTTTTGAAGAGAATGCATCTCCTCCTCCATAGCTTTCCTCTACCTGATTGAATCAGAGCTTGACTCTGATTCCTTATATGTAGAAGGAACCAAATTATCAATGACCTCCACTGACAAAGCATATGCAATCATCACATCATCATATCTAGCTGGTTGACAAATGATTCTTCTTAGTTTATTAGCTGCAATGGACTCCTGAACATGACCATATTCCTGAGTCTCAATATTCACTGTATCCTCCACCTGCCTATCTATCATATCTCTTCCCAGTGCTACCTCTATAAGAGTCTCAATAGATATAATGCTATTTGAAGTCTGTAGAGTCACATCATTCTCCACCTCCTGCGATACCCCATTAGTCTGGCCTTCCTCCACCTGCTGAGGGACCTAAGGCCTCATCATATGAGCCTCATCAAAAGTAATATCTCTGCTAATGATTATCTTCTTATCTTTTAGATCCCACAACTTGAAGTCTTTAACTCTATCTCTAAAACCCACAAAGACTGCTTTTCTTGCTCTTGGATTCAGTTTCCCATCATTCTCATGATAGTAAGCTGGACACCCAAATATTCAATCAAATCATAATCACTAGCCACTGTATCAAACCATACCTCCATAGGAGTTTTTCCATGTATTGCAGTACACGACAACCTATTCACAAGATGACTTACATAAACCAATGCCTCGGCCCAAAAGGATCTAGCTAATCCACTCTGTGAGAGCATACAACACAACTTCTCTAGCAAGGTACGGTTCAATCTCTCAGCCATCCCATTTTGTTGCGGTATCTCCCTAACTGTGAAATGACGCCTAATGCCATGATCCCAACAAAACTATAAAAATAGATCACTCTTGTACTCATCACTATTATCAGAACGGAGTACTTTTACTTTTCTACCTGTTTGCAGCTCCATTATCTTTTTCCATTCCACAAAGATATCTAAGACCTCATGTCTATGCTTCATGGTATATACCTAATTCCCCATGAAATAATCATCAATGAAAGTGACAAAATAATTGGCCCCACAAAGAGAAGTGTTTTGAAAGGACCCCAAACATCTGTGTGAACATAATCTAATATACCTTGGGTGTTATGAATCGCGGTGCCGAATTTCACTTTTGTCTTCTTCCTAAGTATGCAATGTTCACACAACTCCATCTTCTAGGTCTTTGCACCCTTCAATAGCCCCAGTTTTGCTAATATATGTAGAGACTTATCACTAGTGTGTCCCAATCTCATGCGCATAGACGGGTAGTATCCTCCTCTGTGATAATAGAAGCTGCCAGACCTTCTGTTACTGTCTTGCCCTTCAAGTAGTAAGATTGTTTTTCCTGACACCTCTCATCACCATCATGGACCCCTTGGTGACCTTCAAAGTTACATTCTCCATGATCACCTTATAACATGATGCCTCCAAAGTTCCAAGTAAAATGATATTCTTCGTCAATTGAGGAACGAATCTTACTTCATTTAACTCCCTAGTCATACTGTCACACATCCTGATTCGAACTATTCCAATACCACCAATAAGACATACTTGATCATTTCCCATTAACACAACATTCCCTCTCTCCAACTCCTCAAAGCTAGAGAACCAATCCCTCCTAGGACAATTGTGGTATGTAACACCTGAATAGAGTCTACAAAACAAACTGACGGTAATACTGGGCATGAATAAACTGAAGAATCTGAATCTGAATTGTCACCACTAGCTTTGGCAATATTCACCTCTGAAGTCTGAACGACTTTCCCTTTGTTCTTCCCGGCTCTATCTTTCAACTTTGGACATTTATTTTTTCAATGACCATACTCTTTGCAAAAAGCACATTGATTCCTACCCACACTTCTATGACCACCTTGTGGCTTCGATTTTGAGCGATTAAATGGATGGGGTTTGAGACTATGGCCTCTCACTACCAATGTATCTCCCGATGCCTTCTCGGAGGGTTCGTCATCACTCTTCCTCAACTCATAATTCACCAATATTGAGGTCACCTCCTTATAACTAACAGTGGTCCTACCATTAATTATTATAAGGATAAAGATACCATAATCATCCTCTGGTAACAAACACAATAACAACATCACCTTGGCTTCATCCTCTACCATGATATCCACATTGGCCATATCTGATAGAAATTTTGTGAAGTTATTAACATGTTCTCTAATGGAAACTCCCATTTTCATCTTGAGTTGGTAAAACCTCTTCTTTAAATGAAACCAATTCTCAATGCTCTTCGTTAAATACTTGTCATTGAGTGTTTCCCACAACCGTTTTGCCGATGTTTCATATGACATCATAAATCCAATCCGACATCAAACACGATCTAATAACCCCACATGCTCTACTATTTATTTTTTTTCAAACCTTATCTTCCATATCATCGGGTTTCTCTTGTAATCCAAGAGTCTCCTCCAAATTTTGAGCATCCAATGCATCCATCACTTGACACCTCTACAAACAAAAAATTATCTTGCCATCAAAATTTTGAACATTAATTTTTGTATTAGCAATGCACAAACCTTGTATCGCCTTGGTTAGGGATGATCCAGATGTACTTGCTTCGGTCATGTTGATAATCCAACCTTCAAACGAGAATCTGCACCAAATCCTCTTGTAGAAGCCCTAGCTTTCTCCTCCAAGTTGAACTCTAAGCCAACCTTGAGCTCTGATATCACTTATTGTGCGCAGCTGAATCGAAGGACACGAACAAGATAGGAGAACAAATCAACAATCAAATACAAGCACCACACAATAAGACACCAAATTTTACGTGGTTCGGCAATGTGCCTACGTCCACGGGGTAAGGAGGATGAAGATTTCACTAATAGAGAGAGAGAAAGTACAAATAGGGTTTACAATCACTCAATAATCTCACAAAATAACCCTCAAACAAAACTCTCAAATCCCTCACAAATTCTCCCTTTCTAAGTGCTCAAACAATGCTCAAATCTCAGCTCTTAATCTCTCACATTACCCTAGAAAACGTCATGTTCCTATTTATATCAAATAGGAATCCAAAACCAAATGGGAAAGCCGACCATGCCCATAACCGCGATCCGGTCGACCGAGAGTATGCCCATGGTCAACCGGCCAGAGGGTCAATTTTTGACCCTGTAAATTCCACAACATTCGGTCGACAACATAGGCTTGGCCGGTCGATCGACCCGAACAGTGTTTTCTGAACACTGTAATGTGCATGATTCGGTCGACCAGACTCAAGCTCACGGTCGACTGACCTGCAACCAAAAACGCAGTCTTCGTTTTTCCTGATCCTCGTCGCCATTTCTTCATGGAGATTCTTTCAGTCTCACTTTGAACATAATGGATGGCTAAATAATTTATATGATCTCATTCATTCCAAGGGAGGATTCCTTAGTACAACAAATTAAAGGATTACTTGGCAATCCTTGTTTTCAGCTGCCTGTTGGTGCATCTGGCATGCACGGAATAACAGAGTTTTTAACAAGGTAACACCTACTATCAAAGTGTTATTAACTCCACAGTTTATTTTATCAATGAATGGACATGCTCTTCATAAGGCAAAGCTGCAAAGGTTCTTAAGCTAGCATCGGAAGGACAAGAACTTTTAACTATTCCAATCTCTAGCAATCCAGAGAGAATGCATGAAGTGCAGGAAGTGCAAGAAGTAGAGAGGTGCAAGAAGAAGAAGCGGCAAGGAAACCTCTTGCATAAATTTGACAGACCAAGCCTATTTCTACTTTGCAATTACTTTTGTAACTATTCAATTTCTTTTGAAACTGCTCGAAGCATATAAACAGTTGTATACTTCTGTTTTGTTGGGAATATTGTCAGACTTTCCTTTCTCCCTCTTATGGTCATGTGGCTGGCTTTGATCTATCTTTATATCAATGTTGTGGTGAATGACAATTAGGGTCCTCTCATCACCCTCATTGATGTAACTATAGAGAAGGTCTCATGTTTCATTTGAGAGAAAGAATATGTTTCTACTATTATTCCTGTAGGACGCTGTACTCTCGTATCCCTACTCTTATATGTGAATAAAATGAACGCTGACTTTTCCTTGTTTTTCTGCTCAATAAATAAATAAATAAAAACACCTCCACAATTATTTACAAATGTAGAGGAAATAATAAAATTTCTTTCAATTGCATCTACTGAAACCATGCATCAAGAATTGTAATGCTGTTCTTAACCAAAGTTAAAAAAAAAAAAAATAAACAGGAAAAAAGGAAAAAAGATAAAGAAAAAAACGCGATATATATATTAAACAAACAAATGAAATTCTCACATTTCTCTCCTGCATCTCCACAACCTCCGCCGCAGCAATTAAAAGACTCGTGTTAATAGTGTTACTACTTTCATTTGAAAAAGGATTAATTCCCAATCTGAGTGAAGTTTCAAACTAATATATTTGTAGCATTTACTTTTTACCAATGTTGAAAATAACGATAACGCATAACGTAACGCTTACCTCCGGTTAAGTTACAATAGCGATAACGCATAACGTAACGTAGGTTAAATGATTTATTATTATTTAAATAATTTATAGATATATAACATTCAAAATAAAAAAATATGAATAATCATCGCAATTCTCATAAGTCATAAGTTTTAATAAATCCTACAAAATGAGCCATCCTCCACTAAATAAGGCCCTCATAGGCTCATACTACTAAAATACTAAGTCGTCCTCCTCCAGAATGATGTTTGCATCTTCAGGATCATAATCCTCAACCGGTACATCTTCAGTAGCGACCTCTTTTCCTCTTTGTACTGAGGAAGCTGCAAAAATAATTTTAACTAGAAAATCAAAGATTCATTCAAATAAGGCAACAACCAAACTTTGAAAGTTTTTAAAAAGCTTACAACTATTAACCCTCTGTTTCTTTGTCTGCAGAACATCTTCCAATGTCTCTTCCCCGATGGCTAGATTACTAATTGCAGCAACATCAAGATGCTCTCTATCTCCATCATCACCATCAAGCCAAGTGTCAAATCATGGAAGACAAGGATCCTCCTCCTCCACGATCCACTCGTCATCGGTAGAAGCCTCCTCCAATAGAATTGGATCTAACTTCCGCGCCTTCCTCCTCATATTTCTCTCCCTTAACTTGATGTTATACATGACATAAACAAGAGAGTTGAGGCGCTCCTGCTCTAGACGACATCTCTTCTTAGAGTGAACCTTCACGAAATGATAATGACATGTATTATGAGGCTACAAAATTATATGAGTAGATATGTTAATTTAAATTATTAAATTGGTATTTTCTTTACTTGCTCAAAAGTACTCCAGTTGCGTTCACATCCAGATGAACTAGTAGTGAGAGAAAGAATACGAACTGCAAATCGCTGTAATGAAGGAGTCTCATCACCAAATCTCTCCCACCAATAGGCTATCAATTTTAAAATGTAGACATAAAAAATCAATATAATATGACAACATGACACTATAATCACTATACTTGTCAAATTAAATTTCAAATTCAAAATACCTGGAGTACGAAAAGCAAGGGTCCTCAAAGCCATCTCTGATCCAAACTCTCCTAACCTCTCTTTATAAGCATCTAGCTCATAGTCGGCTTGTGCTCTTTCATCAACATTAGGGATCATGCGAGCCATGCACTCGATAAGTCCCTTCCTCACCTCTGGGTTCTTGCTAAACTTATCCCCGTAAAAGTACTTAGGATTAAGATAGTAAGCAGCAGCATGAATAGGACGATGCATCATTCCCGACCACCTCTTATCAACTAGTTTCCAATAAGGCATGTATTTTCTTTCAATTCCACCACATGCATCTGCAATTTTCTCTTTTGCACTATCCATCATCTCATAAAGTAATGGCATAGAGGGCCTAACATCGGAATCCACCTCTCGGAGGACATGCACAAGTGGAAGTGTTGTAATGAAGCAAAACATCACTCGTCCCCAAAATGACCTGCAATAAAGAATTGTGTTCCTCACTTTCACTCCATTTGGCTTCTTTGCCCAAGTGCTTCTTGTTTGGTGGAAAATTGCAAAGAAAATAACAAAGAAAATTGATTTGTATTCCTTTGATTCTGATTACAATTTGATTACAAAAGAGAGGAGAACGAAATTGGTTCTTCCTCTTTGTTTAAAACTGGGTTCTTCACGGTGGCGATGGAGTGCCTCCCTCGAATGCTCGCGTCGAGTTTGCTCTCCGTTGACTATCCGCACGTCTTGATTCACTGGAACAATGTCTTCTCCTCACGATTTGACGTTGTGGAGAACTTGCGTGGCAAGTTTGAGAACTCAGAACGAGTTTAGAAGAACTCTGTAAAAGAGTTGATTTGAACTGAAGATCGGTTAATAAGCCAAGGCTAGAGGCTCCCTGTTGCTGAAGTTGAAGATGATCTTCGTTGGAAGATGATGCCGATCTCCTCAAAAGCCTGTCTCCAGTGGTCGATCCAAGCCAAGAAAATCCAAAACCGACCCTTAACTTAGTTGAGTTTGTTCGCTTTTATAGGGGGATAAGAGGTTGTAACTGCCCTCTAAATCCGCTCCTAAGTGGGCGAAAATCCCTCAGAACGTGGGATAACGGTTTTGAGGCCGTTCGGCTTGTGTTTGAACAAGTCAAAACACCCAATCTGGCGTTCAGAGCCCAACTTCGCCTCTTAGAATTGAGACGCGAAGTTGGGTGTTGGCTGAACATTGATGAACGCGAGGGTCACTCGTGTTTTGGTTTGTTGTAGCTTAGAAAGCAGTGAGCAATAGAGTAGTAGATAGTTTTTATTTCAAAGCATTCAATTTCTCACTCCTGAAAATTAAGCATTTTATCTCTCGTACTTGTGCTTTCTGGAGCAATGTTGAAAATAACGATAACGCATAACGTAACGCTTACCTCCGGTTAAGTTACAATAGCGATAACGCATAACGTAACGTAGGTTAAATAATTTATTATTATTTAAATAATTTATTATTATTTAAATAATTTATAGATATATAACATTCAAAATAAATCAGAAATTTTTAATTTTTAATAATTTCAGCAATTTATAGTAGATTCCGTAATATAATATTGTTTTTTTCTGTTGTAATTCTTTACCAGGATCTGATTAATTATTATGTATATTGAGAAACTATAGCTGAATCTGCAATTCTTCACTACAAATAGCCAGAATCAAACTCGAGACCTCTCTTGGACTGGGTCAAAGGAATTAGTACTCTCTTGGACGTAAAAGAGGCCTAGACACAGTTAATCAATATTTCACAGTTAATCACATCTTCAACAATCAACAGAAGATGATATCGTGGAGGCCTGGAGGGTTTCTTCAGAAAATAGCAAAAAAAGGAGGAAAAAAAAGAAAATCTAGGAAAAAAAATAAAAATAATACCTGACGGGATATCCAGTTGCAGTGGAGGGTTTCGAACGCTTGCGAGATCCAGTTGCAAGGGAGGGCTTCAAACTCGTGCTGGAGGGCTTCGAACGCCTGCGGAAAGGCTTCGATCGAGTGCTGGAGGGCTTCGATCGCGTGTGGGCGAGCTTCGAACGCCTGCGGGAGAGCTTCGAACGCTTGCGGGACGCCTGCGAGAGAGCTTCGATCTCGTGCTGGAGAGCTTCGATCGCGTGCTGAAATGGAGGAGACGGGAGATCAGAAGGGGGATTCGCTGGTGTTCAAGAGAAATGGGGGCGACGGGTTAGTTTAGGCCCTCTAGGGTTTTGTTAACAAGTAAGTAAATCAAATCACAGCCGTTCTTTTTTTTTAAAGCAATCTAAACCGTTGATAAAATAACCTAAGTTACTAAACGTTACAGTGTTACGTTACATAACCTACGTTATAGGGAAAATAACGTACGTTATTTTGTTCTTGCGTTATATTCAAACGTTATGTAACGTTAAGCTTGCGTTACGTTACGTTATGCGTTATTTTGCGTTACGAAACGCGTTATTTTCAACACTGCTTTTTACAATCAATTAATAGGATAGTTGGTCTTGGTAAGAAATGTTTCTTATCGGGTTTAGAGTCAATAATAAAATATTAAAATGTGAACCTAAAACTAGATGGTGATTCTTAGGTTTGTTTGGTAACCCAACAAAATAAGGCTAGGTTCAAATCTAGACTAGGTTTAGTGCATTTTGTGCTCAGTAAAATTGGAGTAGAATTTGTCTAATTTTTCTTTGTTTATCTTTAGCTTCTTAACGAAGCCAGAATTTGTCCACCTCCTATCCAGGACCAATCCAAGCTTGGTTAAAAAGTAAAACGAGGCTGATCTGATTTTTATGAGGTTGCCAAACAGAGCTAGGGGCTGTTTGGTTCGTTTTTTTCACTTTCTAAAAATGATTTTTCTTCACTTTCCTAAAAAGTGTTTCTTGTGTGAGTTTTGCTACAGGGACCCAAAATATGGGACCAATAGAGGGGACAAGTGAGGTGTTCCCCTCCCATTGGATAATGAGTTGGCTATCATTAATGATGGCCAACTCATTATCCAATAGGAGGGGGACACCTCACTTGTCCCCTCTATTGGTCCCATATTTTGGGTCCTTGAGGAATTTTTCTTCTTGTGTTTGTTTCGCCAAAAAATATAGGGTGAAAGTACTTTCCACCATTTTTCTTAGTTTGATTAAACTTAAAAAAAGAAGAAAACAATTGATGTGTGAATAGATTCACTCATTTTCTAGTGTTTGGTTCAAACTAAAAAAATCAAGAAAACTTGATTGTGGTCACCATGGTAAGATTACCACCCATCATCATAGTTGTGCATATAAACATGAAAATTGTGAACAAAATCAATTATCTTATGATCACAAGTGAATCAAATGATGAACAACAGATTAGCACATGAAACCAAAGGTCGACGATAGCTGACCAACAAAATACGCATACGAAGAGTTGAAACCAAAGCCGAGAGAAGTTTAAAACCTGCACAAAATTGAAAATAAGGCCAAGCATCAACTGAAACCAAAGGCCAACCAAGAGCTGAAACCAAGGCCGAGAGCAGTTTAAAACCTACACAGAATTGAAACAAAGGCCAAACATCAACTGAAACCAAAGGCCAAACATCAACTGAAACCAAAGGCCAACCATAGCTGACCAACCAAAGGCCAACCGAGAGTTGAAACTTGTGCCGAGAGCAGGTTAAACCATGCACAAAATTGAAACAAAGGCTAAGAGATGAAGCCAAAGGCCAACCAAAGGACACATCTAAAACCAAACTGAAACCAGAGCTGACCAACCAAAGGCCAACCAGAGGCCAAGTAGCAACTGACACCCAATATATGAAACCAAAACCAACTTTGGCCAAACCAAGTTTGAAAATATTCAAAACTGAACCAAGGCTAAAACCAACTCGAGAGAAACCAAGACTCGAACAACCCAAGATTGAAATCAAACCAAAGTTTAACAAAATTTATAGAAAATATTCTCAGAAAAGACCATTTTCTTCATTATCTGCATTGCCATGAAGTTTATAATAGCAATGTTGGCTGTATTTATTACCCCGCCAATTGATTACTAATATAAACTTTGGTTGCATACATTATATATCCGTCCATCATCATAGCAAAATATTACATTACCATATGCAGTTCTAGTAGTATGTTAGTTCTAGTTGAGCCCCTGTTAGTTCTAGTGGCTCTCGTATTAGTTCTAGCTGATGTCATGTTAGTTCTAACTTCCAGCTAGCATTATTTCTAATATAAGCGTTAATTCTAATGGTATGTTAGTTCTAATTGAGCCACTGTTAGTTCTAGTGACTCTCGTGTTAGTTCTAGCTGATGTCATGTTAGTTCTAACTTCCAGCTATCGTTATTTCTAATATAAGCGTTAGTTCTAGTGGTATATTAGTTCTAGTTGAGCCCATGTTAGTTCTAGTGGCTCTCGTGTTAGTTCTAGCCAATGTCATGTTAGTTCTAACTTTCAGCTAGCGTTATTTCTAATATAAGCGTTAGTTCTAATATAAGCGTTAGTTCTAGTGGTATGTTAGTTCTAGTTGAGCCTCTGTTAGTTCTAGTGGCTCTCGTGTTAGTTCTAGCTTTTAGCTTTTTTTTTTTGTATATCGCAGGTCGAGAGCTGAAAGGATCAACTGAAACCAAGGCCAAGCGTAAAAACTGAAACCAAGGCCAAACATAAAACATATAAGCCAAACCTGATAACCCAGTACAGTTTGCACACAAAAGTTGAAACCAACTTCATATATGGCCCAAACTCAAAAGAAATTATTGAAATTGTGCTAAGAAAAGGCTCTTTTCTTCATTATCTTCCTTGCCATAGAGTTTATAATAGCAATATTGGCTATAATATATTACCTCGCCAATATATTGCTGTTATAAACTTTGGTTGAATATCTTAAAAATAGCCCATCATCATAACACAAAATATGCATACCTCTTTAACTTTAATGCATCAAGGTGAAATTATTCACCATACCCCACTTGTAAACCTCTCAAACAATTTACCATTACCAAACTAATATTCAATATAACATATAAAATCACGACTGAGATGCATGAAGATAGAGATAGTAGTATTAGTTTTACACGAATGTAAGTTTACTACATCTACCATAGTTGTTAGGCAAAAGGATGAGTAATCATCTAGTTCATTTACATACAAAAAATAATTACACAAGCAACCATATAACTAAATAGTTTCACAAAAATATTCTAAAAGTTAGCACTTCTCCTTCCACCACTCTAATCAAGAGGTTAACTCTTTATGAACTCAGTCAACACATTCTTTTGCATAATAGTTGGCCTCCCCATAAATAACCTAGCTTGTGATTCATTCTCATGCAATTCTTGATAAAACTTATCATGAATTTCTATGTCAAATTCATCATCATGTGCAAATATAGCTTTTGCCAACTTCTCGGTCCAATGCATACTCACCATTCGCATAGATGAGGTGAATTGTTTTACCTCATTTACTATCTCATGCATAAGCACCGTGTCCTCACTAGACCTGCCCCCTTTTCCTTTACGCATCATTGACACATCATTTTTAGCTTTGTTCACACTAGAAGATGA